GAGTGATAAAGAGGTGCTCTTTAAAAAGTTATTTAGGAGCAGCCTCATGGTTAGAGCTGTCAACACACACACAGTTTTCTGAGCTTCAGGTCTCCGATGATTGACGGTTTGTCCTTCTGCTGTTGAATCTGCAGCAGTTTACCAGAGATAACCCTCGATACCGGTGCATCATGGGAAGTGTAGGACCCAGGGAGTTTTCTCACTCAGCAGCCCTGTTAGCAACACTCCTGTGCAGTTTACGCTGTTAGTGGAGACGACCTTCCAGAAATAAACCGATAAATACTGTAAAGTTTTGTTTCGCCATGCTAACGTCCTACAATGCAAAAAAACTCACCCCGCAGCGCTGCGTCAGTAACTATAGATGATGGATGACAGGGTTTCACCCGCCGTGTTCTCTTCCTGCAGATAATCAGTTCAGGATGTCCATCCTCGAGCGGCTGGAGCAGATGGAGCGCAGGATGGTGGAGATGGCCCGCGACAACAACCAACAGCAGCAGCAGCAACGGCAAAATCAACAGCAGCACGGCAGCCAGCTGGCCACGCCCCCTCCTCCTCCACCAGAGGACCACGAACAGGTGAGACTGCTGTTCACCATCTGAAAACCATTTGAAGTCACTTCTAAGAAGAGATTAAAAAGTCAGTAAAGAGGTTTTGATCTCAGTGGGTGGACTGAGCTCTGCATGTAGACGCCTGCTGATCTTTGTTTACTCACATTTTAAGTGAGTTAAGAGGTTCTTAATGAACTTCAGAGCAAAGCCATCCAATGCTTTACAGTTATTAGTAAGATCGGAGCTCTGATGCTGGCGTAGAGGAGCACGATAATCATGGTGGGAAAAATTAAATGCACTTGTGACGTTGTGCAAAGCATTAGCAGATGCTCCAATTCTGAGCACATTTTAAACAAAGAGAACCAAGATGAACACTTTACCACAGCTTCTTACGTTTGTTCCATGAACTGAGCTGACTGTAGGTCAGAGCGGACGCCGTGTTCATCATCGCTGAGCTCTTAGAAAGTGTTTAGCACCCAGCGTCCCAGCACTGTCGAGGCTGACAGGGGAACATAGAGCTGCAGTGGGCGGTGTCACAGCTAAGAGTGGTCTGGCTGGGAGAAATCATGTATATATAGAAAACAAAAGTGGGCCAAGGATAGAGCCCTGAGGAAGCCATGATTAAAATTAACAGCAGAGGAAATGGAGGGCATGTTAATGGATAACTAACAGCGACAATTTTTATTTATCTAGCACCAAATCACAACAGCAGTCACCTTTATAGTGTAAGGTATGGATGATGTCTTTGTAAGAAAGCTGTAAAACTGAACTGTAGGTAACAATTCAGTCTTGTGACGCCGTCTGTTCTTCAAAAAAATACAATGAAAAGTCGTTATTTTCACTCAGGTCATTCACAGTAGCAACCTGAAGCCAGGAGCTAAACAACAACCATCAAAACCACCATGAAGCAACTGAAAAGTTTACGCAGAGTAAAAGATGACGAATGAAGCTCGATTCTGAAAGCAGCAACAGTTCAGCTGAACTTTTAATTTGAAATTCACTAAGACTGAAACTTGGATGGATCCTTCTCTAAACTGATCAAACCGCAGCAGAGGCCTCACGGCGAGCGCGTACAGCTGGATCCTGTGAAGAACAAACGGCGTGACCTCTGCTGAACCTCCCTCCGCCCCCTCGCCCTCCCTCTGATGTCATGGGAATTTGGCAGACGCCGCGGTCGAGTTAAAATAGCCTCGCTGTGACAGAGAGACACTTGACCTTAACTGAAACAATCTGCTGTTGTCTTGAGAAAGAAGAGCTGCTCGGGGAGGCCTCGTTAACCCTCTCGTGCCCGGGCTGTTACGCAGCTGTGCACATCTGTCAGTCGGCTGTGCACGCACAGATGTTTGTGTGTGTCAGCGCTCAGGCGTCAGCATGGTGGCACTTGGATTTAACTCTGCCTGCTTTTTCCACTGATCGAGAAAATTAAAAATCACATTGTCTGAGCAGCTGGACGCAGCAGCTAATCTACACTGAACTGTGCTCAAGGAGATTCACCTGCAACCTAAACTCCTAACGAGCAACATAAAGCGCAACTTTAAGCCTTTAACAGGAGCTTTAATGCCTAAAGAGTAGCTTGAAGAGCAACTTTCACCCGAAGGGTAACTTTGAAACATCAACAACACCCTTAATCCTTAAAGCTTTAACAGGAACTTTATCGCTTAATGATCAGCTTTTATTCCTAACAGCCACTTTTTTTGCTTAAAGGCAACTTTAAACTCCGAGCAGCAACAATAATCCTTGAAGAGCAACTTTGTCCCTTATAAGTTAGGCTAAGGCAGACCATTTTTGAAAATGTATTGATAGCAATGTTGAATATTATGGGGCCTAGCAAAAACAGTTTGGGAACCACTGGGCTAAAGGGAAAGCTTTACACTTAAAGAGCAACTTTCATTGCTTAAAACCAACTTTTAACCTTTAACAGCAACTTTAATGCATAGACAGAAACTTCAGCAACCTGAATATTTAAAGAGCTGCTTAAAAAGCAACTTTATTCCATGAGGAACAAATGAAAGAGCAGCTTTAAACCTTTAACAACAGCTCAGCTCAAACAGCTGCTTTGAAACTAACTTCAGTCCTTAAAGAGCGAATTAAAGTTAACAGGCTTAAAGTGGATTAAACTGGAACTGGATTAAAGTCATCCTTTAACACTAATCCGTTATTGCTTAAAGAGCACCTTCAGTACTTTCTCGGGCTACAGAAGCTAAGGGTGGCTTGTGAAGAACAACACTCAACTTCGGTGGCAACTTGAATCCTTCAAGAACAAAATATATTATGCAAATAATATCTGCATAAAGTTAAAGAGCGATGCCTTAAAGATGAAATTCAAGGGCAGCTTCCATACCAAAAGAACAACTTTAAAAGCAACTGTAGCAACTTAAAGGCGTTTATGTTTCCTTAAACCTTTCATAGAATGAGTCAGAGTAACTTATCCACCAGGAGCGTCAGAAAGAGACCCGGTGTTTGAGCTCGATCGCGGCGCTTTTGCAGACCTAGAGTCTTTGATTGCTGACCCGAGCGAACGTAATCAATCAGCCTGGAAACGTCGCTTTGAATTAAAATAAAAATGTTGAGCGTAAACTGGAGACCGCAGAGTTTATTTACTGCGCGGGTTAGCGTGCGGTTAGCGCGGTGTTAGCATGGTGTTGGTGCTGCAGCTGTCCGAGAGCCTGATGGATGACTGACAGCTGGGTGGATCACAGAGACTCTCTCTCGCTCCCTTTCCGCCATCAGTCATTTTTAGCCGCGCTTGTCCTCACGGGGAGGGGAGGGGGAGGTGTGCATGCCTGGGTGAGTCGCAGGGAAAACTGGAGGGGAGGGAGGAGGGTATGAATGTAATGTTTCCTACCAGCTGGAGGAGAAGGAGGTGATTTATAAACTATCATTTATCAAGCTAAAGGAGCTCCCCTGTGATTGGTCTAAAGTGTCACATGACCCTGTGAAGTCAGGTAGCAGGTGAGGTCAGAGCAGGTTAAAAGGGGCAAAGCTGACATTAAGCTGTCTGATCTGTGTGTGTGTGTGTGTCAGTCCTCTCAGTGGTTCGAAAGGAGGATTGTGGGAGTGTGCGAGCGGATGATGAGGGGCGGTCGGTGGTCCGGGGGAGGAGGAGAGCGGCTTCATCACTCCGTTCGTCACCGTGGCATGACGCTGCTCCACCTGGCTGCTGCACAGGGATACACACACCTGATCCACACACTCATACACTGGAGGTAAACACACACACACACTTTCCTGTTACTGCTGCTGTTTTTGCTTTGTTGACGTTGTTGTTTCTGTTCACAGGAATGTAAACAGCGACAGTCTGGACCTGGAACAGGAAGTCGATCCTCTGAATGTCGACCACTTCTCCTGCACGCCGCTGGTAAATATACACACGCAAACATCAGTGGCCAACGGGGTCAAAGGTCATTGTTCAATATTTCAAATTTGTACCAAGAAGAGGAACTTCTGCCTTAAACACCGAGTTTGATCCCTAAAGAGCAGCTTGCATCCTGTCGTATTGCTAACTGAGTTGCAACTAAAGGTGAACTTTCATTCTCCAGCAGTGACGCAGTGAGCGACAACTTCAACACTAAAAGAGTGACTTTAGTTTTCAACAAATGTTGAAGAGCAATCCTTAATCAATACAGAATTAAAGCAAATCTCTTCCCTTTTTGGATAGAGACCATCTTCCATCCTCATAAGTGGACGCGTCAGAGTTGTCACGCCAACATCTGGTTGCTGCTTCCCTCACCTCTGTGTCACGTGTGTTCCAGATGTGGGCATGTGCGCTGGGCCATCAGAGGGCGGCAGAGCTCCTCTACAGCTGGAACAGTCTGGCTCTGGGCATCCCCGATTCTCTGGGACGCTTGCCTCTCGCCGTTGCTCGCTCCCGAGGACACACTCGCCTCGCCACGGCGCTGGAGGAGCTGCACATGCAGCGCACGCTCGCTAACGTGGTGTCCAGAGACGTGCACACGCCTCCAGCAGACACGCACACACCGCAGCCACCACTGTCCCCTCTCTCCACCAGCCCAGATACAGGTAACGCTTACACCTGTGGCCCGTCATGTGGCCTGAATCCTTCTCTGTGATTGGCTGTAACAGCGTGCACTCTTCCCAACAGGTCTGAGCTCCTCCAGCAGTCTCCCCTCCCCCAGTGACCCCTCCTCACCCTCCCCCAGCTCTGCTTACTCCAGTGGCCCCGCCCCCATGGAGACATCGCCCTCTTCCCCTTCGTCTCCTTCCTCCTCTTCCTCACTATCTGTCTCCCCTCCCTCCCCCTCCTCCCTCCCTCTGGAGTCCATGTGGGGGGAGGAGACAAACACCACTTTCAGCACAGGTAACATTAGCGTTCGTTTATTCGTAATTCGCCGACGTACCTGATGAGGTCACTGATCGTCAATTTCCATCTTGCAGGTTTGAACCCTGGTGGTTCCAGAGACTCCCCCCTTCACCTCATGGACTATGAGAGCGTCTCTGCCAGTCACGCTCAGTCATACATGCACACGGCGAGCAGGCGGCGGTCGCACGCCACACTGGAGGAGCAGCTGCTGAGCTACAGTGAGAATGCCGAGAACGAAGGCGAAGAAGAGGCGTACCTGGAGGAGGAGGTACTGCAGGTACCAAAATATAGTCCCGTAGTTTAGACTAATGTTTTAAATGTATTTAATGAAAAAAAATCACCGTTGCTATGGTTACCTTCCCCACACAACAGGTTGACATGGCAACGCTAGCAGAGCAAATCATCGAGGCAACCCCAGAGCGAATCAAACAGGAGGATTTCCCCAGGGGGGCGGAGTCACCGCTCCGAGAAAGGTGGGACAACCCGGCCATACAGGACACCTGGCTGGCTACGTACCTGGAAACGGTCGACACCCACGCACACTCCCCGCCCAGGTAAGCCCCGCCCCAAAACATGCCAGAAAAGTGTAACCATTAGCACCAAACGTTGTCATGAGATGTGTGCACGTGTGCTTGCAGGCGCGTGTGCCCCCCCTCACCACTCAGCGCTTTAGCCCTCCAGAGGCTCCGCCCTCCCTCTTCTGCAGCATGGGCAGAATTCCTCAACGCCTCAGCCAATGGAAAGATGGAGCGAGATTTCGCCCTGCTGACGCTGACGGACGGCGAGCAGAGGGAGCTTTACGAGGCCGCCAGAATCATCCAGAACGCCTTCAGGAGATACAAGGTGCACATGGCGTTATGGGAAGTGAGGGAGCGAGCAATGTTAGGGATAAAGGTTTCCTTCTAGTGCGGGGCGAGCCGTGATCCGCCTCTACGTTTAGTCTGTGTCAGTCCCGTAATCTAGTCCGATCGTTCACTTCCTCCTGCCCCAGCTGAGTTTGGTCATGCTAGTCTAATTCTCCAAAGGTTTTTTAACAACTGAACTGTTAACAAAGCATTTGCACCCATTCAGCACCAAGAATGTCTTTCTGTACTCTCCACTGCTCTTTATCAAATTTGTGTCTGCGAACAAAGAAAGAAATGCCCTCAGTATCTCAAACATCCACATCATGTATGCAGGATGTCTGCAGTCAGCATAAATACATCCTTAAACTTCATCTAGGTTTGGTTTGGCAGTTTATTCCCAGGAATCTTAGTATTTTTCTTTATTTTCAGGGTCGGAGGTTAAAGGAGCAGCAGGACATGGCTGCGGCCGTCATCCAGAGATGCTACCGGAAGTACAAACAGGTGTGTGTTGTGCTGAGCTGTTTGAGTTTGTCTCGAGCTTCACTAACACTAAACTAACCTGCCATGTCTCTTTACCATCTCTCTCTCTCTCTTTCTCTGGCTAGCTAACATGGATAGCTCTGAAGGTAATATGGCTGACAGTAGACGTAGTGATGTGTAGTCAGTACATCGCCCTGTGTGTGTTGGTGTGTGGCTCACTGTTTAACGACCGCAGTAATGTATCCGTACTACCTCGAGCTCATGATGTCACTTTATTTTAGGTCCAGTTTTTATTCGAGCTGGAACAGAGAGGCCGAAACCTGGGAAATTACATAAAATTGTTAAAGTAGGGCTTCACTGTCCAGCAATAAAATACTCAAAGATAACAACTTTATTGTCAAGTGACAAAGTAAAATAAAAAATTATCACCTTTGACGGTGTAAAACAGCAAATATGTTCCCTTCTCTTTTAGTGGCAAAAGCAATGTAAGATAGTCCCAGCTAGGGATGGGTATTGTTTAGGTTTTATCCGATACCGGT